CAATGAAATGGTGACTATTTAAACATCATCTGAATCATCTATATGTATAAAAGCCCAAACGACCATGATGACTGAACGACCGACAGGTCACTATGATGCGCACTGAGCACCAGGGGGCAGACGCTCAATGCAGAAGCTGCTCCCTGGTGGTCAGTGCTCTCCCACAGCCAACCTCCTGTGGCCAGCCAACCTCCCACAGTCCCTCTTCTCAGTCAGCCAACCAACCTCCTATGGTTCCTCCCCCCGCCAGCCAACCGATTGCTGGCCAGGCTGAGGGACCCCACCCACGCACAAATTCACGCATCAGACCTCTAGTATAAGGTGACCAGACGTCCCGATTTTTAACAATTTGTCCTGCATTCCACGGCATTTAAAAATAGTCCTGATTTTTGGAAAGAATCTTTTAAATCTTTTGGACTTTTTAAAAATGCCGCGGGACCCGAGACAAATTGTTAGAAATCGGGACTGTCCTGCCAAAAGCGGACGACTGGTCACCTTACTCTAGTACCAAATACTACTCATTTACTTTTATGGACTGTGTTAAAAACTGACAAGTTTATGTAGAAGGCTGAGCATTTTCAACTTTACTGGCCTAGATTAGAAGAATTTGTGTTCTCTTACTGGTGATTTGGGAAACAAAATACACTTGTGTTGTAACAGCTGGTGTGTGGAGACAAGGTTGGCTGGACTCTGGAAAAAGGGCATGCCATGCTCCCATGCCACTCTGGGACACAGGAGACAAAGACTGATCTACGGTGAGACCATATGCAGGGCAAGGAGAGTACTGTACCAAGGGCTTCAAGGAGGCTGGAGAACTGAAGGGAAAGCAGTGTGCTTTGACTTTAAAAATGCCTGTCTGTCTTGTTTCAGCTGATAAAAAAAAAAACCTATAAGAATGCTTACATGTCTATTTTTAGAAAATTTATTTCGCAGAGCCACTATTTCATAAAGACAATAAGGTTCATTATATATAAGACAAAATTTATAAGTGAGATAAATATTTCAAATACATTTTATTGAGTAGAGGCATTTTCACAAACTATAAAATCCAATGAGGCAAAAGATAATTACATCAGTTATTATCAAAAGACTTTTAGAGTATAGTTTAAGTTCAAAAGGTTAAAGATTTTACAAGATAACATGAGACTATTAATTATATATGGAATCTTTTGATTAGATACAGAAAATATCAATAAGTGTGATTTCCTTTCTCTTGAAAACTAGCTTTAAAAATATTAACTCTGATTAAATTTTGACCTAATTTAATTTCTTATCAATGACACTTGGAATATTCAAAGTAAACTAGTTACTTTGCCACCAACTTAAGTTACCATTATGCTTCTAAAATAATTTATCCAGGATACACTGGAGTAGCCTGTACTTAATTATTTTATAATATTGTCTAAACTTATAGGTTTTTTCTCTCCTCTCAATATTTTCAATATTTTTACAAAGCCCTGTTTTCCATAGCCTTGATCATTAAATATCTACCTTCGGGCTCCAAATACTCATGTCCATTATGGGAACATGAGGGGTAAATTCATTCTCTTTAATGTGACAAGCTACATTCTAAGAAATGCCCCCAGAGATGCTATTTTGGACAGAACTGGGGTACTATCTGAAGATCTGAGAAATGTTCAGGGGACAGATCTCAAACAAGGGACTTTAAAAGTTTTAATTTTTCAAGAGAAATATTCTAGGAAGGGAAAAGTGTTCTATAACCTAGGGCATGTTCAAGAGCCCCTGTTCTCATAGCCAAATGTATGGAAGCAGTCTTCTTAAAGGTCGATGAGCCAAGGCAAGCTTTGGCTAAATGACTGGTAGCTTTTGTTTGGTTCTGAAGGTTTCCATGGAAACAGTCAGAGAGACAGAGAGGGTGTATTATCATATTCATCCCTAATGCCATCTGATACAACGCACATGGATTCATTCGTGCCTTCCCAGAGCAGAGGTATTATTTCTGATAAGCCCGAACAAAGGGAAGCATGGGTTTTATCTGGTCACACTTGGGATTTCCTATCTTTCTCCATTTGAAACCTTAAATTAAAATCCAGATAAAACCTCCTCTGAACATTTCCCTCAGGACCCGCTAGTTCAATAATGCTTCAATAATCAGAAGCCAAATGAAGAAAACGTGAAGTACCAAATGCCAAGTTCTTAAAATTATGTGACATCAAGCTTCCTATAGCAAGTAAATTATTCTAAAGAGTATTTACAATCCATTATGTCAGATCTCAGCCAGGCAAGAAATAGTGCCTTAAGAGTTTATTACACACAGTTCAATCAGGTGGCATCACCCATAATTTTTCTCTTTCTTTATATCTTGATTACTTGTATGTATGTGTATATACATCTATCTATATATGCATATCTATTTAATATATTTAACATAGTAACATACATCACACACCATAATCTTATCTCATTTCAGGTTAGTACATCCCAGAGAGGCTACAAAAGGGGCCCTAGCTCAATTCTTTATCTGAAGTATACAAAAATAAAAACCTCAACAATAAAATATAAACAAAACAAACAAGGTAAGGAGGCAAGCATGCGACTGTTAGCACCATATTTAAGATCACAGAGAGCAAGAGGGTTGACAGAGATTTGAAGAGGAATCCAGCTCTGGGAATGGGATCCCAAACACAGAACCCTCTTGTTGAGTCCAGTACTTTAAAAAGAAAAAGCCTGAGAAATTCTCTTAACAGAAGTGTCAAAATCCATGATTTACCAGAGACAGATGATTTGACATTGCTTCTTATTCTAAAAGCACTGAAGACGGTATTCCTTAGAAACAAATGGCTCACTTTTAGAAATCAATTGAGAAATCACTGCCAGTTCAATGACACCTCAGTACATTAAAAAGACATGATATATCCCCCAAAGGACCAATTTACTCATGGAAAGTAGTTTATTAAGGAGCAGTTAGCTCCCTGATATCTGTGTAATAATTCAGACCTGAGCTACACTGAAAAGATTTGACCTAGCACATGCAATTGCATACTCCACAACGCAAAATGTCCAAAAAACACTCATACCTTTGTGCACTATGGCACTGATGTAGAAATCTAACCTACAGAATAAAGTCTCAACTTGGTCCTTTTCACAAAAAGGGACTAAAAGTCCAGAGTTGGGCTTATTTAGAGATGTGCTAAAGATTTCAGTGGCTTAAAGTGATGGGTAAGAAGTTACAAGGTTAGAAGCACATTATTTAATGCAAGTCCCTCATTTTATTGGTAGGAAAACTGAGGCCTCAAGATATGTCAGCCCTAACCACTGGAAGAACTGTGACCAGAAGAGAAGCCACGGAACTCTTAGTGTGGTACTTTCCCCATCACTTTTACCTCTCAGGTTCCTTTACATCGTAATGTCTATCAGTTACTCAAGATTGAGGAAAATGAGAAATATCAGATAGGAAAAATGCTGCATTTTTACAAAGATTTTGGCAATACTGTATATTCTGATATGCTTAATTTGAACAACGGGGAAACCCCAGTCATCTCATGGTAAAAATGTTATGTCCTGCATGAAACAGGTTTCCTATCCCGAGAGCAGTTTTTGTAGGTACTGGGAGCTCACAGATGGCAGTTTTCATATGGCCCATCTTTGTAGTTAGAGTAGGCCTCTACAGATCCCATATCGTCAGGTGGGCTAAAATGACAGCTGTCTTGAGAATCTGTACCAATACTTTTGGTTTCTGACTGAAGGTGAACAGAAACCTGAACTGCTATTTCCTGGCCTGGTTCATTCAGAGAACCATCATCTGAATCTCCTCCTGGTGAATTACTCCGTCCCATCTCTGGGTTAATGACATAGATGGCACCTTGAGCGTGCAAGGCAGGTCTCTCTTTAATTCTTTCTCCCAAGTCATCAGGGTCATCCATTCGCACAGCCTCAAACATCTCCTCAACAAATGCCCGGCAGTTTAGAATGAGGGGTGGAAGAGGGATGCTTCGTGCCAGTTCTTCTATGTAACGAGCAAACTCCATGGTCTTAAACTGTGTGACTTTGGCGAGCTCCAGAGTCTTAGCTGAGGTGATGATGGGGATGCGTTTTGCAATCTCAAAGGCCTTCTGAAGTTTCTCAGCCCCTTCGGTTCTGAAGAATTCATTGATAGCCTTTTCAGTCTTACGAAGATGGCTGCTCATCATGCAGAGCCGTGTGACATTCAAGATGAGAGTGATCGTAAAGGCAATCAGACAAACAATCATGTAGTAGACACTCATGTCTCCCGAGGTGAAGATAACACGCAGGGTGACAGAGTAGGAGGCACGAATCGGAGACGTGACGAAACATGTATAGAGCCCACGGTCATCAAAGGCTACATTGGTGATATTCAGGAAGCTATCAGAAACCAACCATTTTCCACCTGATAACCCAACAGAAATAAAAACATTACCGCATAAAGAATATTACCACTAAATATGCCAACTGGGTTATCAATATTCCTTTTCTTCATGAGAATATTTTAACTCAACTCATCTATTAGGTTCTGCTATTTGTTTAAATCAGTAAGAAAGGGCAGACTGTTACATCCAGGGTTAGAATTTAAATAGCCTAGAACTTAAAAGGGAATAAAGATCATTCTTGCAGACAGTAAAGACTAGCATAGCTACCTTTTCACTGCTAAACGTTATAAGCCTTTCAGGGAGACAGGTCTATATAATACTACATGACTAATCTTTAAAAAATGTTTATATGTATACAGGTATACCTCGGAGATATTGCAGGTTCTATTCCAGACCACCTAAATAAAGCGAGTGTTGAAATAAAGAAAATCTAATTATTTTGCTGGTGGTCTTGCTTTTCTTTGTAAAAAAAAAAAAAAAAAGCAACATATGTGAAGCACAATAAAGCAAAGTATAATGAAACGAGGTATGCCTGTATGTGACCTACATCACAATTTCTACCTATACATTTTCAAGAATATGCCTCAGAAATATAAAACAATGGTCATTTCTGGATGATGGCTTATGAATAATTTTGATTTTCTTCTTTTAATTTAACTGTGCTTATTTTCGATAATAAGACAATTTAATGAATTTGTTCAATTACTAACTGGCTAATGTGACATGCCTTCCACATGTGAATGTTTTGTTAGAAAAGATTTGTTGATTATATCTTGACTTTCTGGCAAAAGTAACTGAAGCACAAGCCAAAAGATATGTCTCACAAGTCAGGGTACATGAGCAGCTTGAGGAGAATAAAGTTGCCTTTAAGATGCCTGAGCTTCTGTTTTCACCTAAAACATGTCACTTCTCTTCCATATATGAAGGTATCTTCATTTAGGAAACACGTATACAGAAAAGCAAAGGATACTAACCACTCACCTTGATTCAATGTCCTTTAATAACTTGGCTCTGCCTGCACAATTCTCACATTTCCAATAAATTCTCAGCATACTCTGTCACTTTGTGACAGTCATTCAAAGATGAGATCAATGGGCTAACCCTGACTGTAGGTGTGAGTCCCAGAGGAGGCTAGATGACTGCTTAAGCACCAACCGAATCCTAATCTTCACGATCTCTTTAATCCTCAAGATTCTATGGTTCTGGATTATTTTAGTGGTACTTCAATTAATAAGCACTTTGGATTGTGCACATGTTTTTCACCATCAAAATTTATCTAAACTCTATAGTTATATTTAAGAACCATCACTTCACCAATGTAAAAAGAGGAGGAAAGACTGTAGCTATAAATACAGTCATTATTCCTCAAGCTTCTGTCTTCTAAACTTGGGCTATAAAAAGACTACCCCAGGAATCCAAGGTCTGATGAACTAGTAGTACATAGACTCTAATCATCAACTACTGAGCTATATCCACAATCTAAACTCTCTAGCTCATTTGCTGATAATAGCTCAAGACTTATGAACCTTACACCAGACTGGCATGCTCTTTAAACATCTCTCACTTGAGAGTCATAAAATTTAACGATTTTCTAGAAGTTGTTGAAAGTATCAATGATAGATGTCAGTTTAATGGTTTTCAGAGTAAAGGCAATATAGGAAAAATAAAACTGCATTTTCTTTCTTTCTTTTTTTTTTTTTTTAAATATATTTTATTGATATTTTACAGAGAGGAAGGGAGAGAGAGATAGAGAGCTAGAAACATCGATGAGAGAGAAACATCGGCCAGCTGCCTCTCGCACACCCCCTACTGGGAATGTGCCTGCAACCAAGGTACATGCCCTTGACTGGAATCGAACCCGGGACCTTTCAGTCCGCAGACTGACGCTCTACCACTGAGCCAAACCGGCTTCGGCTAAAACTGCATTTCAGTTGGCTGATCTCAACTTAACCTAAGCTTTGTTTATGCAGTCAGTCAGTACTAATCACATTAATTGAATAATGCAAATCTCAGATGCATTTGGTCAGGATCCAACAGACCAAAAGAGGTGAGTCTAGGTTTGTGAGTACAAATGTGGAACCCGAATCATGCTCAAAATACACATTCTGGGTATCACTCTAGAGATTCTGATTAATAGACTTATTTTCTTAAGAAGTTCGTTGAAAATACACTCTTCTAATAATTCAAACACTTCAATTCCTTAGTGGCCAGTTACTCGTGTGTAGATGGTTAAAATGTCTAGCATGTTAGAAGGAAACATCACTGTCTACTTTTCTGTTTCCTACTCTAAATGTGAATAACCAAATACCTTTTATAGTCCAAGGGATTAGACCATCTTTCTAGCAAGAAAGATAAGGGGCCTTTTCTAAAAGTGTTCCTTCTGAGGATCCTGGATTTAATCTTTATCCCGATTTCTTTTTGAGGTGCTTTAACCCATGTGATCTTCAAAAACATCTTCCTAACAGAAAACTAGCTCAGTAAATGGTATTCTGATTAAGATGTGTTTACAGGTCTATAAACAGCAAAATCAAATAATAACCTGTCAAAAGGTAGAGCTTGGTCACATTATTTGTGTGATTTTTAAGATGGAGACACAAAAATTACAAGAGAAACTTTCCTGTTTTCACGTAAATTAAGTGTATAGAATAGAAAAGAAAAAAAAAAAGAACTAGAGGGTGTACAGAGCTCCTCCTCAATGCCCTTCTAATTATCAGAGGCACTTAAAAGTTTTATACAGATCTATAATCATTCAAAACCAACAATTTTGAATTTCCTCTAACATTTTTAGTAACTCATTTCTGAGCAATTTTTAAAAAAAATTATGACAAATTTACTTAAGTCTAATCAAAATCTTTCTTGTTATATTCACACAGGGCCACCAAACTATCACACTACAGTCTAGGTCCGTGGTCAGCAAACTGCGGCTCTTGAGCCACATGCGGCTCTTTGGCCTCTTGAGTGTGGCTCTTCCACAAAATACCATGGCCTGGGTATTTTGAAGAAGTGGCATTAGAAGAAGTTTAAAAAATTTGGCTCTCAAAAGAAATTTTAATTGTTATACTGTTGATATTTGGCTCTGTTGACTAATGAGTTTGCAGACCGTGGTCTAGGTGAATGGTCTCCCTGGACCCATGCAGTGCATGTGCTGCACAGCTGTATGCAGCAGCCCTGATGAAGCCCACCTCCAACAAAAAAGGAACTCAACTCACCAAGAGGAGTGAAATGAGCTCACAGTAATTATATGAACACCTTTTAAATTTATAACTATTCCTTATTTTTTTCTTCTTTTAGCTGAGTATTTTTTTTCTTTTCTTTTCTTTTTCTAATAGGTATAATACTCCAGGCCTTTCAAAAGTTTTCACTATTCACCCTGGTACCTTACCTTTGAGATTTCTTGTTGAATATGCTATAAAACCAAGAAGAAAGAAGTAACCTTGATTAATTATACCCTAGCATAGTTACCTCTGCCTCTGTCATCCAGTCGCTGTCCTTTTGAGTTGTACCAATGGACATCTTCATAGTGGTTGATTGTGAGAAGACACTCGATTGAAACACTAGTTCCCTCTTTGGCTATGATAACATTATCACCTGAGTTGGAGCCTGCTGAGAGTTCAAAGCTTGGGAGAAATGACATATTGAAAGAACTATGATTTGCTCCCAGTGGGTCCATTTGGTTGAAGCCTCCATCTTCCAGAACAAAAGCAGCCGGCACAGTAACACTCACCACTAAAGTGAATAAACAACAATGTGGCTTCATGGGAAAAGGGGAGACGATCTTATTTAGATTTAGAGAACTGGAAAGCTTCTATGCTGTAATGAGAGTACAGCGATAATTTATTGCTTGGTATTGGAGTTTTCCAGAAAAGTAGTAGATCCAAATGTATTCTGAAGTCCTCAAGGTTAAACATGTGAGTGAAGACCAACCTAAAAGAAAACCAGATATAAAGTTTAACCAACAAAGATGCATACTGAGATGAAACTCTATATTCTAGGCTAAATGAATAGATGAAAACCTGGTAAGAATAACTGGTGCCAACATCTGGGAATGCAATAGAGAGAACACCATCTAAAAATCTCACATAGGGATGGTAGAAAGAGCATCAAATTGGGAAATGGTAGACCTAGATTCTGGTCCTAGTTTTGCTACCAACTAGCTGTCTGAGCTTGGTACGTAGCTGGGCTTGTTTTCTTATCTGCAAATAAGGGACCAAATAAGACAATTTTTAAGGACTCTACTAGTTGTGAAATGTTACGGTTCTATTTCTGACAAATTCTATGCAATAGGGAACCAATGAAAGCTAAAATATTTAGCTTAATGGTCTTTCTTTCCAAATTGTACCATTACCATGTATTGTTATAATAATAAATCAATTGGTATAATCATAACCATGGAACTCAAAATTTGAGTAGTTCAAGTTCATAGATATATTATATATAAATAAAGCAGAGACAGTTGAAGTAGTTCTTTTGTTTTAATATTAGAAAGAAAATTGTACTCCTGTATATACATAAATATACATATACTAACTTGGGAGGCTATAACACCCTTGGGTAAGAATATTAGACAAAATAATTCCCTTTAATAGTTTCTTCAATATCAAGGGACAAAATACAGTATACATTTAACAGTTTGTAAGAAAACCAAATTTCTAGCTCAAAGTCTGTAAAATTAGCTAAGGGAGAAATTAACATTTTAAATGACTAGTTGGCAGAAATGCAAATATAAACTACAGGGAAAGCTTACCAGACAAATTTGAAAGAAAAGTATAATATCACAAATAATAAGCAAAATGATATCTCAGTCTAAGAGTGTGTGTGATTATAATCATTGTCCTGGTAATGTGATTCCTCTTTTAAATCATTGACTCCCAAAGAAAAATTTCATCTCTTATTTCTATAAAATATGAGATGAAACACCTAACTTTATTTTTTACAAGGGTCCAAAAGAATTAGTTTTGAAAATGACATTTTCTCTCCTTTTACACTTTCATGAAGGCTTCTTGATCATCTATAATAAAAGCATACTATGCTGAAACGGATTTGGATCAGTGGATAGAGCATCGGTCTGCGGACTGAAAGGTCCCAGGTTCGATTCCGGTCAAGGGCATGTACATTGGTTGTGGGCACATCACCAGAGGGGGGATGTGCAGGAGGCAGCTGGTCGATGTTTCTCTCTCGTCGATGTTTCTCGCTATCTATCCCTTTCCCTTCCTCTCTGTGAAAAATCAATAAAATATATTTAAAAAAAATAAAAAATAAAAATAAAAGCATAATATGCTAATTAGAGTGGACATTCTTCCAGACGAGGCTGGGGCTGAGAGGGAAGCCCGGGTCCTGGGTGCCTGCAGGCGGCCGGAGGAAAGCCTGGTCCCAGGTGCCAGAAGCCGGTGCTGGCAGCTGCAGGAAGGCCTACTTTTACATGAATTTTGTGCATTGGGCCTCTAAGTATAACATAAAAAGCAATGGATCATTGTATTTTGCCAATAAACTCCTCAAAGTCTGAATTATGATACACTATAAATGTCATTTAATTTTCATTAGCCCTTGAAAGGATGGTTGAATAATGAAAATGACTCTGTATCTTTCTTTATCTTTCAAATTTAAGAACATACTATTTAGAGTAAAACAAAAAACTTCAGACTTTGTTATAACAGATGGAACACATGTGTTTTTTTTCATTTCCTCCCCAAACCCAACTAAAATGACACTAAAGGAAACAAAGCACTTGGGTGCAGGTGTTCCCCACGACTTTGATGAGGCGTTCCTGTGGCTTCATCCAAGCCAGCATTTCCCAAATCTCATGCATTCCTTCTTCTGCCATAATTTTTATGCTATATCCGTTTACCAACTTATTATTTATGCTTTTTCTTTAAACCAACTCATTATTTTACTTTCATACATTTATTTTAGAAGGAAAGTCTGTATCACATCTGTGGATAAAAGTAACTGTACATATAAACACCATAAAAACAAGGCAAGGTTATTAACTTGCAGAGATACTGTCATCTGCTGAAGGCTCCGAGCTAGAGGCCTGCTCTCTTTGTAGGGAAAACAAACAAAACAAATAACCCCCCATAACTTCACTTTATTCTGCATTTCTTATCTTGCCATTTCCTTCCTCCCCACCCTTACCCACCACTGAGTTTAGAACCTATTTTAAGACTAGAGATATGCATTTTTTCATGTATTCAATAGTACCTACTGTACTATAGACATGGTCTCTGCCTTCATGGAGCTCAGTCTGCTGGAGGACATAGACACTAACTAAATACACACAAAATATACTAAATGCTACCTAAGGGAAAGGATAGGGTGCTACAGGAAAATTAACCTCACTGCAGAAAGCCTCTCTGAGTAAGTGAGATGTACAACAGGTTCTGAGGAATAAACAGAATTCAATAATGGAAGAGAAGTGTTCTAGGTAGAGGGGCAGGGACAGGGAAAAAGCAGATGGATCACTGGTTAGGCAGTATTCAGGAATAAGAGCTGTGGTAAGGAGAGGTGGTGGCCAAAGAGTGCTGGGTTGGATTCCTGATTCTAGAGGGGAGCTGTCTAGGCCAACAGCTAAGTTGGCAGTGGACTTGGGGAATTGGAGTGTGAGGCTGAAGTGAGTGAAGAAGATAATCGTTCAAGACGAAGAGGCCAAAGAACTGAGAGACTCAAGAGTAAGGTAAGTCATCTGCAGGATGGTATGTACCTCCACAAAACAAGGCAGCTAGGGTAGAAGACACCAGGAATAGAAGAAATGGACTCTCTCCTGGCTCTTGAAATGCAGGAGCTTCTGGGTGATCAACAGTGCCCCCAAGAGGGGGGTGGGGAGATGCAGTGTCCTGGCAGTTACTGTTGTGTGGAGTCCTTTCTTCATGCAGCCTCCCTGAGCCTCCTCTCAAAGCCTGGCTCTTCCTCCCACATGGATCCAGCATATACCTGGATACAGGACGGCTCTTCCTGGACCCCTGTAACCCTCACCACTATACTGCTCTCCTGGCTCTAGCACATGCTGCTCTGTACCGCTAGGCTGTCCACCCCATCTCACCTATGAGCACTGTAAGCACAGAGACTATATTTTTTATTGCTATCCTTCATAACTAGTACATGCTCAATAACTATTTAGTGATGGTGATTAGTTTAAATTTGATAAAGTATGTGATGGATCTTCATAAATTCAAGAATATTATATAATAGGGATCATAAATATTCAAACTGATATGAATTTACTAACTAGCACTTACTCTATTCTTTGACACAAAGAGACAACGCTAACAATCTTGAAAAAACTTAAAGGCATAATGCCTAAAGGTGTTTCTTGAACCAACCCAAAGTCTTCATTTACTATCTTGTTCTAGAATAAAAGATTACCAAGTCCAGAGTTTTCAAACCAGGTTGAATATTACAATCATCTAGAGAACTTGTGAAAATACAGATTACTGGATCTCATCCCAGAATAAGAATCCCTTGGAACGTATGTTTTTAAATGAGCTCTTGAGTGATTCTGAGGCAGAGGGTCCATGGGCTGGCATCCAAAGACCACTAATATACATCCTTTATTTCCTCTACAACAGCCCTGCCTAATTGTGCTCCGGACTGAACACTTCCAATATGAGACAACTACCTCTCACATTCCATTTGAATTACAATTTCCCTGAAATATCATGATTGCAGGCCTCTGATAAAGGCAGGGTAGCAGAGAAGTTCAAAGTACAGACCCTGGAGCCAGATTTCCTGGATTCCAATCCTGGCTCTAATTTTAACTAGCCTTGTAACTTTTGTTAATGACTTAACCTCTCTCTGCCTCAGTCCCCTTATCTTTAATATAGGGAAAATAATAGTATGTATTCTCATAGGACTATTGTGAGGTCTGCACGAGACAATATATATATATATATGTACACACACACACACACACACACACACTGCATATGTATATATGCAATAGAGTTTGGCAATAGTAATCACTGAATAAGCTCCAGTTATTATTACTGTTGATAGTCCTTTCAGATATTGTGCTAAAATCTATACCTTATCACAAAAAACTATTAGTTAAGATAAAGAAAACACATTTTTACTCAGAATAACACCAACTGTTTAAAAAACTTGGGGGAGGGGAATTCCAGAATTCCATATGTAATTTCAATCTTTAATTTTAAATTTCACATATTTCTTTTTCTCACTGCAAATAAGTATTTCACAAAAATATGGATCAAACAGGCATTGTAAACTAACCTGGGACTCCAACCACAATATGCTAACATTGTTTTTATGTGTCCTGAGTGTGTGGTAGAGAACCTTTGCAACAATCTACCTGGCCTATGTTTCCCTTTCTTGAATCCTGCCTTCTCACGCCCAGGAGGAAGCCAACCCATTGGCTGACTAATCTAATTAGAATCTGTTCTTGGAATTGAGACATCATGGGTCAGGGCTATTTGAGGAAGAGATGGAGTATAG